AGTTTGAGAGCTACAGAAAAATTCATACAAAGGTCCAAGCCTTGATTTATGTCTTAAATTATTTGCTATGATTAGAGAGTGAGAGAAACCCGTGGTACTTTTTTATTGTGCATGCATAATCATTTGGCAAATATGCCTACAAGTTAATTCCTTATAGGCACATATGGAGTGTAAATTAATTCACTTTCTTTTTTTTTATGATGCACCAATTAACTTCTACATATTCGGTATGATAATGTTTTATTGGGTTGTGTGCAATGTTGATGACTAATTTGTTGTCATAATATATTCTCACAGATTCATTCCACTTAATTTTTAAATATTTTACTATAATTTTCATCCATAGATGCTCACAATTCTTTTGGATATTGGATCTAAATTTAGCTTCAACATTTGATATTAAAATCACATGCTATTTTTTGTTCTTCCAAATTATGATATTTCCTCCCATTAATATACAATATATTGCAGTGAACATTCTATTTATTAGCGATCCAACATGTATATTCTTCAACTTGTAGGTATCAAGCTTTTTTATATGATTTTTTTGTCTTGGGTTTGATTTAAGTTATCTAAAAATTCTATAAACGGCTTGAACGTGCAACTCTTTTGGTTTGTACATGAATTGACAGGCTAGACTTAGTGTAAATACGATGTCAAGATGGGTATGTGATAAGCAGATTAATAATTTCAATTAATCCTTGAAACTATCTTATATCTACATTAGGTACTTCTTCGTCAAAGCTTAACTTTTTTCATGTTTTAATTGCAATTTTACATAGCTTACACACTATCATTTGTTGCTTGTGTTGTCCACAAACACAAGAGTAAGATTAAATATGAGTACAACGCTTTTAATAATATTTTATAATAATTACATAATGTGAGATGTCACAAGATTTGAATTTTGACGTGCTTTTATATTTTGCAAAAATCATACAAATGATGTGTATCAATACGTGCTTTTGTATTTACTTGATGCATGATAGTATACCAAATGTGCAATGCCATTGTTGCATCACAAGCATGATATGATTCTCATGGTATTTCTCATTGTGAATGTGTATGTGTACACCATAAGTATTTGATGATAGATATCAAGATTACTATTGCATCGCATTCATTGGCGGATCCATAATGGGGGCACAGGGGCCGTGCCGCCCCCTCTTATTTGGCCTGATACTTAGGGTCTGTTTGGAGCAACTGCAGCTTATTGAATAATTTGTTGATAAACTGATTAAAAATAATCTGTCGATAAGCTATGTGCGGTGACTACTACAATTTTTTATTTTTTTTGGAAAAGTTAGACCACAGCCAGAAAGCTGCCACTGCATCTAGACATGTGCAATATGAAAACGTTGTTTTCAGCATTTTGAAAATGCATAAGCTATCAAAACACAGTTTGCCCAAACATGTCGGGTGCGTTTTTAAAACTCCACCGCACCAAATAAGCTGCCCCAAACGGGTCCTTAGCCGTAGGCCTCCATGTTTCATTGTTTTAGCAACAATCGAGCTCGTGAGGATAAATAGCTATTAAATTTTAACTAATTATAACCATTCATTCTATGGTGCTGAATTTTTTTTGCATGTAAAGAGCAACTTCACAGTATAATTTCTTGATGTGGAATTAAAGCTTATAACAAGCTATAATACAATGTTTTTAGTACTTAAATAGCAAGCATGTCTTTTTCTTTTCTAAAAAAAATTAGATTAGCAATGCTTAATCAAAATGAATAATTAATGTTTAAACATTTTGTATGATATTTTAATATAAATTTTACTTGATTTTTTTTATTTAATCAATCCATGCAAAAATAAATTAGAATAATTTTGAAAATTATTTTGGCTAAATTTAATTGAAATATCCAAATAAAAATATATTATTTTGATGAGATTGAATTTACAAATTATCAAAAAATTATTTTAAAATGTGTAAAATATAAAAGTATAGTTGATTGTCAAGTAGCGTGCTTATATTTTATAAAAAAATTTACAATATTTTTTTAATTTTAAAACATTATTATATATTAAAATTTTAATTTGTATGCCCCCGCTAAAAAAAATTTATGCCTTGGACCACATTATATGAAAACTATCATATTTTATATTGTGAATGTTATCACTCTGCATTCAGAGAAAATATTCTCGTTTGCTTAACGAGCCGAACACGAGTTGTTCACGAACAAAGAGTCCTTTTAACAACTCTAATCATTTAGCCATAAGACATAAGACAATAAGGGTTTGAGCAAGTTTTAAAAATTATTATTTATATTAAAACATCATTTGAATCTAATTTAATGATTTTTATTATATTTCTTTATCAATATTTTAATAGATTATAAATCTTTGTAGCCTTGTAGTCAATTAAATTTTTTTTAAATACTACTTAATATATATATAAACTTGATGAGTAGTATTTCGAGCCAAAACGAGCCGAACACGAACGAACACATCTTAGTTCGTGTTCGGCTCGTTAACTTATCAAATAAAATTAACGAGCCGAACACAAGCTTTTCGCGAACAACGAGCCGTTTTGACAGCCCTATTTATAGTGCATGTTTTTAGATTTCTTATTATAGTTTCCTCAATTAGTAAAATCCTCTGCAACTCCGTGGAGGTAGACAATTTGCCGAATCACGTAAATCTGTGTAGTCTTTTCTGGTGTGAATTTTTCTCGTGCTATTTTCACTTCGTCGTCGATCGTTTTTTTAAATTTCATATATACCACAACACCCTATACTATAAATTTGACTAATTTATATAATTTGAATGTTGCAAATCATTTATAGTAATAATTAGGGTTTGAATGTTGCGTAAATATAAAGTTGATTACGAGTTATGCCGATTAATTTTAACTAAATTCAGAATGTGTATTATTACTTTATTTAAACATGAAAAACGAACAGTTTAAAGTTGAGAGTGAAGTTTGAATTGAATTTTCATGTCAAGTCTAATAATAATGGCCCTATCTCTATGTTAAGTATTAATGGTTAAAAGCATAATATATTTGTGTACATTATGATTCATTATATCTTAATATAACATGTAATATATACACAAAATTACTTACAAGTATCTATTATTTGGATGATGTAGTCATATGATGCGTGCCAGTTCACGACTGATAGAGTAATGAATTAATATTTTAGCTTTGAATAGAAACCCAACACACACTCAGTTAATAAAAGAGGGAAGGAAGCGGGGGGCCAACGGTGGCTGGTAATGGCTAGAGTGCTGCAGCAGCCGGAGGCGGAAGTCGGCAACGGGCGAAGTTCACTGGATCTGTAGTGGTGGATGCTAGAATGCATCTTTCTCTTATGTAGCTCCGGTCTTCTAATTACCCAGGGTCCAAGTCCTGGCGTTCGGACATTTGACGTCTTAATGATGTTGGAATTGAGCGATATTGGACTCGTTGGATTTGACTTGCTGAGACACTCAATTTGATTGTAAACTTGTTAGATACAGAGTTTGTTTGACCTTCCAATTATGCTAAAAAAACTTCTAAATATGATTTAGTGATTTGATCTCGGTTTGATTTGACTTAGACCAGACTTATTTTGGTATTGTTAGGTCTATCTCATCGAGCGGGTTAGTTTGATTATAAGCTTTCTGAAATCGAGAATCTGGATAATTTTTAGCCGAAGTTTGAACATATCTTGCTAAAAAAATTTCATCAAGATTCATGTCATGCATCGAGATTCATTTCAAATGATGAAAACTTGTTAATGGTGTTTCATTATAGAAGTTAAATCATTTGAGAGTGTTCTTAAAGTATCATTTTATATTCATAATGATGTAAATAGTTATGACACTTGTATAATACTGCCATAACAATAAGATTTAATTCATTTGAATAATAGGTGCTATAATCATATGTGAAATCTCTTATTATCATGCCTATTGTATATATTTCTAATCAGGCTTTATATAATTGTATGCATAATATGACATGAATTTTATGTATTTAACTAATGATTGAGAACTTTATTTTTGTTTAAATTATGAATTTTATGTTTGTATATATCCTTACTATTGACATGAAATTTTAACTGAAATTAAATAATATTTAATTTAATTTTTGAGGCATTCATACATACCACACAATTTCATGTATTTACACATCTAACACCTAAATTCTAATATTTATCTACATATCACTAAAATTTTTGACATCACATCAAAAAATCATTATTATATTTTTTCTAAGAGTAAAATACATATTTTCATCCATAAATTTATAATTTCAAATTATTGTAAATGTAAATATGAAAATTTAGATTTTAGGTATACAAGTTGTATTTAACTAATGATTGAGAACTTTATTTTTCAATCAGGAGATCTTCAGCGGGAGATAGAGTTGTTAAAATATCTCGTTGTTTGTCAACAATTCGTGTTCAGCTCGTTAAGAAACTCGTGTTTGATTCGTTTGTTGAGTTAACAAGCCGAACACAAGTACTTTTTTTGCACTCGATATTTAAATGAGTCGAACACAAACACATATTCAACCATATTCGGCTTATTTTGGCTCGAAATAATAGTCATCAATTATATTTATATATATATTAAAATTTTAATTGACTACAAGGCTAAAAAAAATCATAATCAATTAAAATTAAAATTATTAGTTAAAAAAGTAGAATAAAAACATTCTAAATTATTTTTAAATAATATTTTAATATAAAAATAAGATTTAAATTTTGTCCCAACCCCCAACCCTTAATATCCTGCAATTGCATAATTGAGATTGTCAGATCTACTTTCTATTCGTGAACAGTTCGTGCTCAACTTGCTAAGTAAATGAGTCAAACATAAATAATTTTTTTACCTTCAAAATATAAATGAGTCGAAGAGGTTCGTTTACACCAATCATAAATACATTATGTATATGCGTTCGCGTCGTTTCGTGCGGGAAAAAAAAAATAAAGTTGAGGTGTTAGTTATGTAAATACATAAGAATTGTATGGTGAAAGTGTAAGAGGCCACCGCTTCCTTTTAACTCCCTTTTCATTGCAGGAAAAATCATTGCAGAGATGGCCTCCTCTTGATTTACAGAGCTCGGTAGTCCCCGCACTATGCTGCAGACCGAAGTTTTGGATGCCTTAGCTTCGACCAGTGAAGGTTTGTTTCGCCCCAATTCTCTCCTATAGTTCTACCACTTTCTTCGATTTCCCTTTCCACCGTCGACCAAACCATTTACGAAACTTTTTTCGACCTCAAATTGTTCATTTGTTGCTGCATCGATTTCGTTTTCCCAAAGTTCTCATTTTTCTCACGCTTTCATCGTTTGTATGATTCCGACCAATTTCTCAGTAATACTATTCATTTTTGTTCCACCATCTTTGAAGGATATGTTGGATAAAATGTTGCCATAGATGCTTGTCTGTCGTTCCCATCGCTACATTAGTCATGAATGGAGAATCGGCCGCAGAACTCTCACACGGGGAAAGCTAATACTTATTCATAGACAGCCATTTGCCCTATTTTGCTCTGTCACTGACATCGGATTAGGGGATTCGAAGTCGGATTCTGAGAATGAGTGGGAAAAACTCCTCAAGCCCTTTGATCTGGAAGAGCTTAGAAAATCTTTTAACTGGGTTACTCCCCGTAGGCTGTGCAAACTGCTTGAGCTTTCCCTTGACATTTCAACTTTACTGCAAGTTTTTGATTGGGCTGGCTCGCAGAAGGGCTACTGTCACACATTTGATGTATACTATATTCTAATAAAAAAATTAGCTGAAGCTGGAGAGTTTAAGATGGTAGAAGAGCTGCTACATAGATCTAAACAAGAAGGGGTTGTTCTAAGGGAACAATTATTTATTGTGATCATGAAATGCTATGGAAAATCCAGTCTTCCTGGTGCCGCAGTTCGAGTGCTCGATATAATGCCTGACAAGTATGGATGCGAGCCAACTTTCAGATCTTATAATGTGGTTTTGGACATTTTGGTTGGGGCTAATTGTCATAGGATAGCTGCCAACTTGTTCCATAGAATGCTGCATCAAGGCGTGTCTCCCACGACCTTTACTTTTTCAATAGTGATGAAAGCTCTTTGCTTGGCAAACGATGCTAACTCGGCACGCTCCCTTCTCGATAAAATGGGAAGGCACGGGTGCGTGCCCGACTCAATAATTTATCAAACTCTAATACATGCTTTTTACAAGGAGAACAGGGTTCATGATGCTTTAGAGCTTTTGGAGGCCATGCTACTGATGGGTTGTTCCCCGGATACCAACACATTTAATGATGTTATTCATGGGCTTTGCAAAATAGGTCATGTCGATGATGCGACCATATTGGTCGAAAGAATGTTTCTTCGAGGATGCTTTCCGAGTGCCCTCACCTATGGTGTATGGTTGCAAGGGCTGTGCAAGAAAGGAGAAGTTGACGAAGCAAGAGCAGTATTAAGCAAAGTACCCAATCCAAGTGCGGCTTTGTTTAATACAGTGATCAACGGGTATGTCGCAATAGGTAGGCTGTTAGAAGCCGAAATTCTATATGATAATATGACACGAAATGGTTGTCATCCAGATGTTTACACGTACAATATATTGATTAGCGGTCTCTGCAAGGAGGGACGGTTAGGATCGGCTATTTGCTTGTTTAAAGAGATGGAAACTAAAAGTTGGGCACCAAATGTGATAACTTATACAATTTTGATCGATAGATTTTGTAAGGATGGTCAGTTGGGAGAAGCAAAAAAGATATTGGAGGAAATGTACTCGAAAGGCTTAAGCCTTAATACTGTAGGATTCAATTGTCTCATATGTGCTTTATGTAGGGATCAAAAGATTGATGAGGCCATGAAGCTTCTTGAAAAGATGAAGGAAGAAGGTTGTAAGCCTGATATTCTTACATTTAATTCTCTAATACATGGTTTGTGCAAGATTGATCAGCTGAAGGAAGCCTTCAATGTTTACGAAAACCTATTGCTGGAGGGAGTTGTTGCTAATAGTGTGACATATAATATATTGATTAAAGCATTGTTGAAGAAGGGAGAGCTACAGGAATCTTTGAAACTTGTCAAGGATATGGTGTTACATGGTTGCTGGGTGGATGCTATCAACTTTAACAGGCTGATAAAGGCACTTCGCAACAATGAAGGCATTGAAACAGGATTAGAGCTGTTTGAGCAGATGAGACAGCTAGGCATTTGTCCGAGTACAATTTCCTGTAATCTTCTTATTGATGGACTCTGCAGGAAAAGAAGAATGCATGAAGCTCTAGAATTAGTAGGAAAAATGCTTCAGCTTGGTTTTAAACCAGATATAGTGACTTATAATAGTGTGATAAATGGTATGTGTAGAAAGGGCGCAATTCATGCAGCTTTTAACCTTTTAGAGAAGCTACATACAGAACAAATTGTTCCTGACGTAGTTACATATAATATTCTTATTAGTTGGCACTGCAAGAAAAATTTAGTTGAGGAGGCAAACAAGCTACTAGATAGAGCTGTGAATGTTGGTATTACACCCAATGCCCGTACTTGGGATGTTTTGTTACACAATGTTCTTCGGGAATCAATCAATCTGGCATCAATTCTGTAATGACTAAAGCGCCAAAATAGTCCCCTGACTGTTTAATATGGTCATTTTAGTCCCAGAGTTCATAAAAGTGTCAAATTAGTCGCAGTCTCTTTAAACCATGGCTGAAATAGTTTTCTATGAGGACTAGTTTGGCCCATATTAAATGAGTATGGGAACTAAATTGGCACTTGTATAGATTTTGGGACTAAAATAATCCCTTGCAAAGAGTCAGAGGGCTATTTTGACACTTCTATCCTTCTTTAATGGTAGCTAAAGCCTGTTCATTAAGTATTCTGTAGAATTGTTCCCAAGTGCCTATAATTCTAGTTATTTATGATTTTGGATTATTCGCAGTGGGTTACTGGGCTGTTAGGGTGATTCTCTCACCATCTACAGCTCATGGGATTCTTGAAGGAGAGCTGCAACTCCATGCTGCAATGCAGTAAGGTACTCGTCTTTTATTCATCTTTACATCCACATTTAAAAAGAAATGTGTATTTTATTTTTGGAGCTTCAGGTTTTTATTAAGTTAGTTTTACTGTGTTTATTCTTTTTCTTTGGTGCATTTACATACATACCAAACAATTCTTACATATCTAACACTTAAGCAAACACTTAAGCATTCATATTTACATGCATAGCACTCAAATCCTTAACATCACATAAAAAATACCATTCACACTTATCTTTTTAAAAGTGAAACGTGCCTTTTCATGTATATGTTTATGAAACCAAGGCGTTTGAAATGTAAAAATGAAACTTTGGGCATTTGATATGTAAATATATAAGAATTGTGTGATATGTATGTAAATTTCCCCTTTTCTCTTCACCTCTAGGGCTATATGTGGTACATTTGAAAGAGATATATTAAGGATGAGTAAAAGTTTGTTTGACAAAACATGCATACACACTTAAGAGTTTTATTCATTTGTCTCCAATCAGAATACTTCCTAATGTTCTAAATGTTAATAAGTTCAAAATATGGCTACGTGGCAAGCAATTGGAGACCCAGGCTTTGCAATAAATGTTTTATGCGCATATGGACTTTTATTTTTTACTACATAATCCGTAAATTTATTACATATCCATTATTGTTATTGAATACTGCTACAGAATTATTTTGCTGTTATGCAACAAGTTATTCAAATTTGCACTTTTTACATTTTATCGAATTAGCCAATTCAAAAGTTGTTAATTGACTATGCTAATTATCTATGGTTCCCAATGTTAAGCCAGTGATTATTAATGAAAAAAATCCATCAAGTGGATGTGCGTGATCTTAGTGAACTCCTAGATCAGCGTTTTGCCGCTATATTTCTCTCTTACTAGTTCCTACTTACTGCATCGCTTCCCACCCTTCTGTCCATGTCCTGACTGACCTGTCACGATTCATCAAATGCTTTTATTGCATCTGATAATTTAAAATTGCCTTGTAAACCTCCATGCTATCACTATTCTACCTTAGTTTTGTTGGGCTGCAACGTTAAAGTGTTAATTTGCTATAGATATTCACGTGATAGAACAAAAAAATTTTGTTGTTCTGGAACTGCTGGCTTGTATGACTATTCCTTTTTTGTTATGTCACAAACTGATTTCTTGTGGTCCAATCAAGTGCCTAAAAACTCTTAAGTGATTAATACTTTTCAGCCTTAAGAGTTGATTTTTATCATAATAAAAAGTAAAGACTGAACCATTGCTGAAGAGGTATCCTCGGTTTTGTATAAGCTAATTATTCTTCATTATCACTTGTTCAAAATTTGAACGATAATTTGGAAGCCTATTCTTCATCGAAAATGCATATTATGGTAAAACTAATGAACTTATTGACATAGAGAGCCTTCGACCTATGCCCTCAAAAAATGATCATTACCTGAAGTAATATTACATTTGATATTCTTTGCAAGGATTTGGTATTCTTTGCAAGGAAAAATTGGCCTCCATTATCTTGACAATGGACGACACATCCTATACTTGCATGGATTGACATCGTTCTTTGTGCTGAGATTCCCAACAAAGTATTTTTATCTAGGTTGATATTGTGTTTCACTTCAAGATCTCCGACAAACTAGTATTTACCTCGGCTGACATCATTCTTCACATTGAGATCTCTTGTAAGCTGGTATTTATAGGGCAACATGGCGCTCACAGTCAAGATTCTCGGTGGAGTAATATTTATGTTGGAATCAGCACAAAATTATATTCATATACAAACTTTTTATGTACATGTATAGCTGGTTTGCATTTTGATTGTTGTTTTTTTTTTCTTAGTAAAATGTGTATGGATATGAAATGTGCGGAGAATATAAGAATAGAGAATGCTCTTAAGAATTTTGCTGTATATTGTGTACTAGAAAAGATATATTTATTCATCTTCAAGAGGCATTATTAAATAGGAAGAAATCAAAAAAGGAAAAATCATGAGTAGGTGGCTGTATAGGGAAGTGCACAGATTATAGTTTGAGAGGTATAGAAAAATTGATACAAAGGTCCAAGCCAAGCCTTGATTTGTGTCTCAAATTATTTGCTTTAATTAGAGAATGAGTGAACCCCACTACAGAAGAGAGAGAAAGAAAAATTGAACACTCCCTCAAATTGAATGATAAAGATTTATCATTTCAAGCTTGTCAGCGATATTTTTTATTGTGGATGCATAATCATTTGGAAAATATGCCGACAAGTTAATTCTCTATAGGCACATATGGAGTGCAAATTAATTCCCTTTCTATTTTTTTTATGATGTACCTATCAACTTCTACATATTCAGTATGATCTTGTTGTATTGGGTTACGTGCAATGTTGCTGTATATTTGTGATCATAATATATTCTCATAGGTTCATCCCTCTTAATTTTTAAATATTTTAATATGATTTTCATACATAGATGGTCACAAATCTCTTGTATATTGGATCTAAATTTAGCTTCAGCGTTTGATCTTAAAATCACATGCTATTTTTTGTTTTTAACTTATTATATTTCCTCCCAGTATCAAACTTTTTATATATAATTTTTTTTCTTGGATTTTATTTAAGTTATCTAAAAAGTTTGTAAGCGGCTTGAACGTGTGACTCTTTTCTTTTGTCCATGAATTGACTGAAATGTCAGGATGGGTATGTGATAAGCAGATTAATTTTTCAATTAATCCTTGATACTATCTTATATCTACATTAGGTTCTTCTTCATCAAAGTTTAGCTTTTGTCATGTTTTAATTGCAATTCTACATAGCTTGCACACTATCTTTTTTATTATTTTAGTAGAGTCGTAACATATTTTTGTTATGAGAGAATCCTCTTTTATTTAGATTGAGAACTTTTATGCATAAAAAGTATTTGAGTTTTTTTCATTACTTTGACTTCAAATTCTTCAGCAAAACCTTTTTCTGAGAGATTCTTTCTCCTGTATATCATTTTTTGTAAATATTATATTATCAAAATATATATATGAGGATTGAGATTCTATCATCAAGAGTGTGTTTTACAAGGAGAGTATGTTGTCCAACTCTTTTGATCCAACTCCCAAATACAACGTTTGTAAATCTGTCAAACCAAGCTCTTTAAAATTGTTTTGGGTTGTATAAGAATTTTTTTTAATTTAAATGACTGATTATTTATGAAGAATCTATCAAATCCTAGTGCTGGATTCATATAAATTTCTTCTTCGACGTTCCCATATAAGAAAATATTTCTTACTTCATATTGTTGTATAGGCTGCTCATGATGTCCTGCAAAGAAATCAGAATGTGAATAACATTTATTCATGCAACAAAAGCAAATGTTTCTTGATTGTCAAATTCATAAGGCTAAGTATATCATTTTTGTATTAATCTTATTTTATACCTTTCTAGCCTCCCATACATATTAAACATCCATTTGCGTCATAGTGTCTTTTTTTGTAATTCAATATGTGCGGTTTTTTACAAGGCTTTCATTCTCTTTTTTATGATCAATTTCCTTTTTTTTTTTTGTTTTCAAAGTTGTTTAAAATAATATTTGTGGAATTGAAATGGGGTTGGCATTGATGTTAGTTGGTGGAATTAATATGTAACACCACACATATTTTAAAGATTCTTATTTAGATGGTCATTAAAAATAATATACTATCTCGAAAGATATAAATATTATTTTATAATTTATTCGATCATGTTAGCACTTCATGGTTTTATATAAACAAAAGATTTTTTTTTCTTTATCTAATTGGGAAAAAAATTGCGTGTGATAGACGTACTCAGCGCTGCTACGATATTGAGGTTATATCGAGGATACAAAGAGGTTATATTTGCGGTATAATCCCTTGTAACCTCCCTGTAACCTTCTGCAATCTAAAATAAGTTTCCCGCTTTTGTTATCATATATTAAGAATTTATTAGTAGGTTACAGGTAAGTTACAGAAGGTTACATGGAGGTTACAATGAGTTATACCGAGGATATAACCCCTCCTTTGTACCCTCGGTATAACCTCAATATCGTACGCAGCGCTGCGTACATCTATCGCACACAAATTTTTTCCATCTATTTGTGGGTTAAATAGGATTTATTTTAACACAAGTTCAAGTTTCCTATAAAAGCAATCCAATTATGATTAATTACATCGTAAGCCATGTCTTTTGTTAAAAACACTCGATTAAAATAGCACACATGTTTTGATGAATTCTAATATTTAAGTGTTTAAGATTGCCTAAGTAGAGTTTTAATTGGGAATGATAGAATTAGAACAGTTCTTTTCTGATGCCACAGGAGAATGGCAGGAAGTGCTCAGATATTGATTAGCTTCGTAGCATTCCAACTATTCTATAGTTAGGTTGCATATTTTTGGAAGTTGGGTCTTGTTCGATCATTAAAGTGTTATGTATTATGTCACGACAAAAGGTCATGAAAAGGTCAGAGGTGAGGACTTATGATGTCACAATTAGTCTATCTCAGAATCTAAAATAAGTTGAGATCTACTATCACAGTGCAATCTTAAGTTTACTCTAATAGTGTGCAATAGATGTATAACATTCAATCTTACATATAATTGAAACGTCTAACTCTACTGTGCTTAAGTTCATGTATGCCAGCTAAACCCACAAAATCGTCTAAAAATTATGAGGTCCAATATAATGCAATACGAGATAAACAATGTTATTGTTTATTAGATGAATAAAAATATATTTAGCAAAAGGGCTTCGGGTAAGGGTGTGCACCAGCCAAACATCTGAGAGCTGAGCTCTTGTTCTTGTTCGACTCGTTTGAAATTGTATCTATTTGAAATAGATCCATGTTCGAAATGATTAATGAAATAGTTGTACGCATTTGGTTTGATTTGTTTGAATTTAAATTGCATTGCTCAAATTGTTTGAATTTTTTGTTTTCGGTTCAAAATGAGCTTAAAAAAATAAAAAATAAAAATAAATTTAATTATTTATTATAAAATTATCAAACAAAATAACATGATTGTATATAAAAAAAATTATTTCTTCGACAATATTATTATAAATTATTATAAAAAATATATACAAATTTAAAGCTCTACTCTCAAATCTCAATCACAACAAATAAGTATTATAAAACGAATAATTAATAAATTAAAATTTTACAATTACATTACAAATAAAACAAAAATACATTCATCATTTTATTTATATATACCACGTCCCAATCTTCATTTCTCCAAATTTAATTTTATCATAGCTTTAATATACCTGTAAATTAAAAAAAAAGAAAAGCAAAAGAAAAAACTTATGAGGCCATGAAAAAAAAAATAAAATAGTATATTGAAAGTAGGGCTGTCAAAACGGCTCGTTGTTCTCGAACAGCTCGTGTTTGGCTCGTTAATAAGCCCGTGTTCGGCTCGTTCGCTTAGTTAACAAGCCGAACACGAACAACACGAACAATATTTGTTCGTTCGTGTTCGGCTCATTTTGGCTCGAAATATTACAAATCAATGGATAAATGAAGAAAAAATTATAGTTGGAATGTGGGTGTCCAATATCAGTGGGTAACAAATAGCAAGAATTAAATGTCATAGGTCTATAATAAATGTTAGATGCCGAAATGATAGTGGGTAATTAATTTTTGTTGCTCGGCTTATGGAAGGTCATCTTATGGCTACATGATTAGAGTTGTCAAAATGCTCTTTGTTCGTGAAAGGCTTGTGTTTGGCTCGCTAAGCAAGCGAGCTGAGCTGAACACGAACACACTTTTTGAGCTCGAAATATAAACGAGCCGAACACGAGCAGAGCTTGGTTTTGCTCGTGTTCGGCTTGTTTACACCCCTAATTGAAAGAGAAGAAAAAAAATATCAGCCCAAAAGCTGAAAACATATGATAAATGTGTTAGATTCGTCTCCTCCACAACAAAACAAATGTGTTAAAATCGTCTCATCAAGAGCAAAACAAAGTTGTGCTCTCCTTTTTTTGTCAGAGAGAAATAATGTGCAATGAGAATAGCAGCTTACCAAGCATAACCCAAACTAATTGGGATAAGGGTTGAAATCATTATTGGATGCCGCACAGCAGTGAAAACGCTGCGCCAAATAGAGCCTAAGAAACAAATCAGATTGTCTCCTATAGTAGAAGAAATAAAAATGTTTAAGTAAAACATCATGATGCCATTTGCAAAAGCACTTGTGTTGCAGTGTTGAGAATGCTTTAAATTTTTTTTTCAAACACCTAGAAAACCTGCGCAAAGATGGGTAGCTGCCAACCTGCCAACCCACAATTATGAATTATTTTTACTTCCTTGAAAAGAAAAAGAAGATAGATTCATCAATAGAGGGTTATGTATACAAATATGAAAGTTTAGGCGTTAGATTTGTGAAATTGTAAATACACAAGTATTGTGTGGTTTGTATGTGAATGCCACTTATATTAATATATAAATACGAATATACATGATGACGTATTGCGAATATATAAAAATCCCAAAGCAAACACTTGCCTAAAGAGATAACAACGAATGAGACCAATTGAGCTTCTCAAAACCATAGAAAACTATTGTGGAAATGCAAAACTTTTTTCAATAAGAAACATAGAGCTATTTGATCATACATAAATTGCTGAAAGGAAACAAAAACTTCCTGTGGCTTTGTTTCTTACCTCAGTAGGAACTGGAACTTCAACTTTAGTTTATGCAGAAATTCAAGTCTGGGTGTTAGATATGCACATACTTAAGAATCGAGTGGTATGCATGTAAATCTTCCTAAAAGTTATTATGAACTAATTGTGGAATGTGAGAAAAATCAATCAAGCATATCTCAATTGGCTGATTTGGCTCCAGCCGAAGAATCGATGGCAACAACCAATAAGCCAACAACTGAGAGAGATAAGCTACATAAGCATAAAGAGATCAA